CGCCAGAGTTGATATCATTTATTTTAAAGTATCTTCCAGATCTAAAACATGCTAGCGGTATAAATGACATATGGGAAGAAAGGTGAATCTTGAATAGTCCAAAAGGGTAATTTTCACAGATTTTTGATTTAGGATTGACATAGGTGCTAATGCAAATTTTATTAGTAAAAAAATTGTGAAAATAGCATACGCAAAAGACAATAGTATTCCTAGAGTATACGGGTTTCTAAATGAGTCTTATTCCACATTAGGAAAGTTTAATCTACGTATTATCTTAAATGATGGTGAGAAGCATAAAATCATACCCACTGAATTTATAGTTACTGGATCAGATTGGCCTGATCAATTTCCTGAAATACTTTTAGGCTCACCATGAATGCGAGAAAATAGTGTACGCTTAAATATGTATAATTCGACACTAACAATAAACGATAATTTTGTGATCCTCTCATATCGAAGTCAAATCCAGTCCAACCAATAGTCCAGAGCGGTGATCATTGGTGCAGAATCACATTTTTTAGCAATAAATAAATACCTCTATCCCGCTCTATTTATTTTCCGATTGTGTTACAGATGCGGTGCTCCTATTTTATAGAAACGCATTGAGCTGTGATAGATCAAGTGAAAAGACGGATATATAACATCCGGCATAGTGTTGATAATAATCTAAATTCAGTTCTATCTCAGTTATACCAGCAACTTAATTCCAATATATCTATGACAATGGACTCTGGTACTGATCACTCCACTATAGCTATAATCAGACAAGCACTAAGGGATTATTCAGTAGCATTACTCGACGATCAAGCAAAATGGTGGAACTCTACTGATCTAACTAATCCAGAGTGGTGACCATCAGCTTGGAAGAATTGGTTGGGTTACTCCTGTATAACAAAAAAATATAGATTAACTAACTTATACTAGACATGTGCACTGGTCTGTGTCAGCTGAATTTTTTACAAAAATATCATGTAATTCTTGAGGAGTGCTCTTCAGAAATTACGGAACTGTTTTCAGGATTAAATTTGAACATATAAAGATATCCTATTACATTTTTATCAGCTTCTATTTCACTTATTTCTCGATTAGTATAATCATCAATATCAAGAAGATCTTAAATTATGCTTATATCTTATTCCAAATATAAAAGTAAATGATAAATTTCCCCAAGTGATATTTTCCCAAATGTTACATCCATAAGATCTTGCATATTTTGATATAATATTGTAAGGATGGGGTGACCATCGATATCGATTTTCTCATGTATCAGTTTTAATTCCTTTACCAAATCAAACAACAGCCCAAATGAATCTTTAAGTATTTTTCCTTTCTTACTTTGATTCAATGCTATTTGATTTGTATTGTCATTAATAGATGAGGGTTTCTTTGGGATCATCACCATACTGAGTTTTTCCTGAATAGCTATTATATCTTTCTTCTTATATAAAAGTACTTCATATAAAAGCTCTTCATGTAGCACTTCATATAATTGAGCTTCGCTTTTATCAGAACTAATATTAGTATTACTTGTTATGATTGTGTTTATTCCTAGCTAGCATATATTCAAATTTGTGTCTGAAATACTGATCATCAATCGGAGCAGTGATCACCAGCTCGGAAGAATTTGCTGAACTAGAGATTGTGTGACAAAAAATAAGTGGGATCATCAGTTAGGTCTTGTGCGATATATTAATTTTCGCATATACTGAAAAGAAGCTATACATGCTAATCAGTACTTTATTTTTTATTAAGTATAATTGATCTATTAGCAAAATGTCAGATGACGAAACGGATGAGACCTATAATGAATTTATCAAAGAATTTGGATTGAAATATAAATAGGATAATGTAAGAAATCCCGATGAGTGAAGATACTGGGATGATCTTTTTTGCACAATCAAAACCTATTGGAAGATAAAGGCGGTCAGGTATTGGAAGGAGAAAACGCTTAATCGATTTGTATTTGCTTTGCCTAGTGTAAAAAATCCAATGTCATTATTTCATGTATTCCTACAATTTGATGCCTTTTATCTTTCACAAATATTAAGTCTGATAAAATTGTCATATTATCCGCATGAACTTTGAGAGAAAATATAGCCAGATGATATTGAGAAGTTCTGATATAGATTATTTATTCAAGGTGAAAAATCAATAGTAGATTACTGTTTAAAGGCGAAGAAATGTAATGATATCGTCAAACTCTGTAAAGGTCATTTTAGAAGTGAATTCTATAGTGGATTAATGTGAGAAAATATGAGATGTATTGCAAAAAATAATTACTATTGTGAATTGGTAGAAATGCTTATTCAGGTGAAAAAAGAATCAGTGACTGGTATTATAACTGGGATTAAAGATTATATCAGTCAGTCTGGCATTGCTAATCTGAATGGGATGCAATACTTATTGAGAGGCATACATTGGATAACTAACCTGAGCGAAGGTAGTCTGGAGCAGTGATCACTAGCTCGAAAGAATTTGCTGAGCCTCGATACATGTACTCATGTGCGACAAAAATAGGTGATCACTAGACAGGGTTCATGTAACATTAATCTTGTATATACATTCGAAAAGAAAACATATTAACCTTTATTCTTTATTTTTCCTAAACAAACATGAAAAAAATGTGAAAGAAAGTCTAGTTGCAACATAGGACTCACTGTAAAAGTAAATATTGCTGACAAAAGCATATATTGTGAAAGGCTGGGGGACTTGCAATTTCTGAGATCTATAAGAACTAACTACCTTTGCGTCTTGCGGGTAGATCTTTATGTGAAAAGGTATGAGGATTCCATTTACATGTGCTTTCATGGAACTCTTGACATCAGATAACAATACTAATTACGTCTCATACCTCCTTAACTTTTTTCCCAATCAGATATAAAGCATAGAGGGGTATGTGGAAGTTCAGTCAACTTCTTCAGTTTAGCACTCTGCAAAAAACTTTCTCAGAGAAAATAATGCAAAATAAGGTATGTATATACCTTAAATTATGTATGTATGGGAGGGTCCCTCTGGGACTGAGCGAGTTTTTCTCACTATGGACTCTTGTATTTAGGAAAGCAAGATGTCTTTTAACTTTACCCTAGCTGACAGAATTGAAAAATATGAAATGGAAAGACTTATCAAGTTTTTGCAGGAGGATTCCAAATCAGAAGGCTTAGAACTTGACAATAATTTTTTTATAAAGCTTAAGGAGAAAGAAATCACCGGTAGTTTATTTCTTAAGCTAACCAGATGGGATTTTAAGGAATATAGAATAACACTAAGACAAGCATTAGAACTTGAGGATTATATGAAGAGGTTGGATGAGTAATTAATTTCGCCAAGCTAGACGCTTTGCTTAACATTATAGCTGAAATCTAACTGTTATTAATTTGGTAACAGGTGTTCGAGAAGCAAAAATAAATTTAGATGATGTTCACGTTAAAAAATAGTATTTTTATTTTTGTATCATGTAATAGAGATATAGTTGTGCGAAGCGCCTTAACAGCCAATTTTTATGTATTGTAGGCTAGCTTTTGGCAACGTTATTTATTTCATAAATAAAGTATTATTATCCTATCAATATATGAGTAAGTGGTCACATGTATTGATACAATGCCTGTGCTATATAAAAACCTATATTAATGGCCAGTATTCTCTTTTCTGAACAGAAATAAAATTTTATCTTACTCTGGAAAGTAACACTATTTTTTGTCTAAGCCTAATAACCATATAAAAGCGCTATGTCTGAAACTAGTATACCTTATACTCTAGCTTCCACCTTCACTACTGTAGCTGAAAATGAGACAGTCTCGCTGACGAACAAAATTAAGAAATATGATACAGCCAAACTTATAGAATTTTTATAAGGACAGGATTTACGTCTTAGCGAGATAGCTATCAAAATTTTAGAAGAAGAAGAGATTAATGGCTGTACCTTCTTCAAGATAATCAAAGAAGAGCTTGAGCGTCATGGAATGAAATTGGGACCTGCAACAGCTCTCGTAGACTTCACTAAGGACTGTAAGAATAAAAAATTAAAAGCGTTCTCCTTATACAAGACCAAGGCAGACTTGGAGAAAGTATTGCAAGAAGATTATAAAATCTCGAATGGAGATATTACTCTTATTCTACAGTTCAAACCAGTTATCTGCTTGGTTGATGAAAACTCTTTAGAATTTAAGCTCTGCATTGATGATATTCTTCACAGGATAAGGAATATGGAACCAGTTGTAGATAGTAATGAGGCTATGCATTGCGAGTATATTTCTACTATTCTTCACACAGCGTTGAGTCTCCTTAAAGGTTTAATAATCACTCCCCAGATGAAAATAACCAGCGAGATAAATACTGGTCGTGTTGACTATGCAATCAAAAAAATTCTGGATGACTTGCTTGAAGAAATAATTTGCATAAACAGAATCAAGCAACTATGGGTATCTGCCAAAACACAATGTCGAAGTGCTTGTGATGTAAGTATAATAAATTCTACTAGCTCGCATAATCATAGGCTATTGCTAATTTACTTCTCTATTTCTCTCAGATGAATATAAATATAAGCAAGAAAAAAAGAAAGGTAGATGAGGCGTTCAATTCTGATAACGAATACATTTATGGCATAGTCAGTACTGACACTGACTGGCACTTCATTCTTTATAGCACCGAGGGCATCTATAGTACTAGCAGGATCGAGTATCAAATTTCACTTATAGAAGACGCTCTCAAAGACGATACAGAATTATGTAAGAATGTGAAGAGGGTTTTAGAGGTTATAGTAAGTTTATTAAAGGATAGAGCACTAGGTAGTGAGAAACCTGCAACTAAGAAGTGCTGTGTAGAAGAGATAATCAAGAAAAAATAATTGTATAGGAGACTAACATAGATATCATGTATCATAGACATAGTCCTGAACATTTGTATTTATTTTTGTATATAATAATAAAAGAATTGAATTTTGCAGGTATATGTGATAAGCGAAAAATATAGTCATGGAACTGCCATTCCAGGGCTATAAACAATTTATTTATATTATAATCACGCCTTAAATTCGTGATAGAGCTAATATATGTTCTGGCCCTAAAACACTCGTCTTGGTAAATGCGTCATATAAAGAATTTGGTCTATACTTTGAAGGAATCAAATTTGGATGATGAAGGAATTTCACAAGTATGTCATTCCTCCAAGCTTTCATCTCCTCATGCTTTCAAGTTATCTCTATCAATATAGATAGGTTACTGTAATTCATTTCTAATAGGTTTTGAAGTAAAGATCGTTTATTTTTTTTGAGGGTAAATAAACTCATCCCATCCTCGACAGCAGAGTCCACAGTAATAGGAAAGTTTTTATGAATATCCGATCTACTTGCTAAGATAGATAAGGGCGAAATTAAGGCTGGATAGTAGAAGTCGGCTAAGGGATCCAGCTCAAATTCACTGCACATATAGTCCCAATATCTTCTAAATAATCTGAAAGTCTATTAGCATATCTGTAACCTTCGCGAATCAACTTCTAGAATAGCTTTCCATTTGGGCTGATCTATCGATCAATTAGTAAATTAAGTACTGTTCTATGTATGTCTGATTCTTGCATATGGATTGTTGAAATTAGCATTTATGAAAGTGATAATAGATGATTAGTACTTATGAAAATGGTATGTTTAATTACTCATTTCCTCCCATATTCTTCTTTTTATAATATATGTATGCTCTTTTCTTACCTTGACCGCATTGGACACAAAGCTGAACGCTTGATTTAGTGCCTCGTCTCCATCCTTTACATGGTTGTAGGATTATTATGCCCTTTCGTATTTTAAATGCGTGGGATGCACAATATTGATCTTGTGTCGAATTTTTACAGAAACGGGTCTCTCCAACTAATAACTAATTACAAGGCATTTCTTTATTATTCATGCTCACTTTCATATTTAAAACTTTGTAAACTAAGTTCACAAAGTGGAATTACGTGAGTTTTTATTTTGAATGTAAATATACAGTGTATAAAATTATTTTCAAAAATAACATCTGAGATTGTCTTACTTAGGCAAGAAAACGTCAGACTTATGGCTGAGAATGCTGAGTTTAAGGTCAAGTAGGATGAGGCCAAGGATAAGATTACAAAGTTAAGGGCTGAGCTCAGGAATAGAATTGAGGAATTAGAAAAAGCTAGAATAGATACTGCCGTCAAGAATACTAGACGTGATGTTAAAAATGTCAGGCATGATGCTAAGAATGCCAAGCTTAAGGCTAGAGTTGCAAAGCTGGAAGAAGATTCTAGGCATTCACGAAAGGATTCTTCTCTCAAAAAACTTGCTGACATACTAGACTCCATAATAGCGAATGAAGTGGTATCTGTCAATTTCAAGTCATCGGAAGAAAAGATGATAGACTTTTTTCTGGATGAAGTGAATAAGAAAATTGTTAGTGATGGGATAAGGCAGAAAAAGCAAGATGAGAAGCTTGCAAAAGTGGAATCCATCTTTCCTGAAAAAAGTAAACAGGTATCAGTCGACAAAAGGGCACTTCGTAAGAAAAATCAGAATAAACAAAAGGAAAAATTCATTCAGAAAGTGTCTGAGAGGGCGGTCACTAAAGTAACCTCAGATGATTCAATACTTTCAGTATCTTCACAAAGAGAATCAGATTCAAACACCAATTGTTCCAATATTATAGATGAGCTAGGCTCGAATTCTTTGAATATTTGCCTAAAGAAAATAATACGAAGCTGTGATCCCTTAGCAGTAGAAATGAGAACGCTAACCTTTTCTCTTTTATATGAAAAACTTTGTGATATTGTAATCTTTGCTGATCGTGCAATCTAAGAAGCTATCTTTTATTACTGTCAATTTGGAAAAGCTCTTATCCAGAGGCGAGGTGAGATCGTATCTGAAAAACAAGTTGATCCAGGGTCTAATACAGTCAGTAGAATTCTAAATATAGAAGTTAAAGCTCAGCTTCCTACTGGTACTTCTGATGCACTTTTACAGAAAAGAATCGAGCAGGCCAAGAAGCTCTATACACTTTTTAATGCAATAGATATGGATAAAATAAAGTGAATTCATTCCTTCTCCGCTGATTCTATCTCAAAAATGACGTATGAAGACATCCAGTATATTATTGACAATATACCCTTTAATTATAGCATTCATATGGAAACACAACTTTGTGAACCAAGTTCACAAAGTGATAAGAAAAATTCTGATTTATCAAATATCACCATTTCAGATGCGTCTACTGAATCTCAAGTTCCTAATGAATTTGTCCTGAAAAAATTTGATATCAAGGTAGAGGTGATACCACCTATTTCTCAACCCAATAGTCCAACTTATGACCGTGCCTATTTTCGTAACAAAGCATTGGATCAATATCCTAATTTATATAAAGAATTTAGTAGTGAAAATATTGATTATTATGGAATTACTGATGAGACTTCATGTCTATTATGCAAGTTAAATCATGATGATGAAGAAGGTATAGAAGGTAGATATGAAGTCAGATCCTATTTTATTAAATTTGAACAGCGTGAAATTGAGATAGTTGCATAGTCTCATTATTTTATATTATATTCTATTTGCTCACGCTTCATTGTGTGATATTTTTTAGGGTTAATTATGTAAACTAATAGTCTATTACATAATTTAAATTGATTTGCAATCATAGAAAAAAATCAACATGTCTAAGTCCAATAAAGTATTAACCCCTGAATATCTGGATTGATATGCCAAATTAACTGATTTACCAAGTGTTTTGACAGATAGGATTCAGTCCAGCTTATATAAAAATATAAAAAAGAAACTGGATATCAGTCATGGCAATTATCAAAAGCCCGCCTTCTCATAAATTCAAAGCCAGAAAACAAAGTATCCAATTTATATTTTTTTGAGCAATGTGAAGAAAAAGGGCCTATAACTTTCGAAGCCAGACCCAATTCAGAATTAATTATCAAATCCGTCTTAAAGCACTTCCCATACTTAAAATTCAGAAATAGTTTCAGAGGAATTGATAATTATGATTTTACATCACCTCAGCCGTGGAGTTCACCATGCCTTATTTGTGATGGAAAACATGGGAATTATGGATTATATGGCTCATGGTATAGAAATAAAACAGAATATTATCTTACCTGCAACACTTCAAGCAATAAACTCAAGTTTGCAGTTATAGCTACATGATGGTATTGTTTACATTATTCCGCAGTATAAAAAAAATATGTATTTTTTTGTTTACAAACAATAAAGCTAAGGCACATTAAGCATAATATATTTACATGTATCTGATATGTGTTGAGAATAGCGTGGGATTGTATTTGTATGCTAATATTTCTCGATCAGTTTTTCATCTGAGAATAAAATTTTAATAAATACGTAGTATTATTAGGATAGATCATCATATTTCATGAGAGCAAATCATTGCACTATTATTCTCGAAATTTCCTGTATATATTCAAGCTTTTGCATATATTTGATAATTAAAAAAACCTCTTGTTGATCCAGAGACACGATTCCAGTGTCTATTATAATTTAAAGAGTATCTGTTGATCTGATTTTCATGATGAATCATAATAATGTCATTTTCCTTGAAGATTTATTCCGAAAATCAATTCTTAAACTTACTACAAATTATATAAAAAGGTGAGACCTTAATTAGTAAATCCTTTTATCTGCCTTGTGCAAGTAATGCAGGAAAAAAATCAAAAGAAATATTCAAACTTATCATTATTAACATCAATAATATCAACAATCAATCAAACGAGTATATTTACAAAGTAATAGCAAAGTTAGTTTGTTTGATTTCTTGGCTTGATTCTAGAAAATCGTCATTATGATACTAATCATTTTTTTTTCCAGCTTTATGATAAAATTCTTTGATTGCCATCACGTGTCTAAATGCAGTATTAATTTCTGTTACCAGATTTTTGTCACATGTTGAAATACAGTGCGCAGTATATCGAAGTTCACGATCTGAAAATAGATATTTGGTGCTTTTTTACAAAAATTCTGACTGATGAATTTGTCGAGTTGATAAATAAAGGTTTTGAGATACGCACACTATAACTTCAATATAAGAGTAAAACTAATAGTCAACTCCTATAGCATAATAATTATTTTTCACTCTAGACTGCGGATTGATTTTTTTTTGTGGCTTAGATATATATTATTTTTTCGTGATGCTTTATTTCATAAAAAAAAATATGCAACTATCACCCAAATGCTTTGACGCTGTAAAATACCATGGTAAAATAAATTTTACTGATGTCTTTATGATGCTTTGTCAACGTAACCTATCATTTTTATCTACTTAGCCTTTTGGGAAAACACAGAAGAGCCTTCGCTCAAGAAATTTTTAGATTTTTGACTTTTGGCTGGTAACTTAGAAGATAAGCAAACTGAGTACCATTGGTACAAGCAAGAACTAGATACAATTGGCAAATTTTATGCTGAAGTATCTGAACCTGAACAGGAAGTGATAAGGTGGAAAAATGCTTTTAAGGCAAGTAAAGTGTATTATTTCTGACTCAGAAGCATGAGTACATCAACTACCCTGCAACTCGCGCTCTTGTAGTGGAAATGACTGCGTGTCTGTTGATAAGCTATACTTCATGAAACACCTTGAGACTCTATGTATTATTGAGTACACCAACTACTCTGCAACCTGCGCTCTTGTAGTGGGAATGACTGTGTGTCTGTTGGTGAGCTATACTCAATAGACTTAGGGATCTATGGTGCTCGCAAAAGATGAATATATAATCTGTGTGCTTGCTTGTTCATGATGTCTCCTATTCTTGCTTGCATAGGTAGGATAGTTATTGAGTAAAATCTATTAGGCAAATTACTTAGAACTTCTGTTCTATTATCACTATTAGAAAAGTAAACAGTCAACAGTAATAAATCAATTTTGGAAACTTCAAAATGAAAGACAAAATATTGTAGTAAAGAATGCATTGATTGAGAATAAAACCAATATGCAAAAAAACAAGGCAAAGGCGAAGGTTCAGAAGTTGCAGATACTTCACTCATTCTCCTCATTACTTAATATGCTAGGCTAAAATATTCATTTACTCTTGATCCCATTTACAATACACAGTTGGACCAACACGTAACCATTGTTACGGTAATAATGGGACAAATTCAACAATATGCTAGGTCAACAACTACCAAGATCTTGAAGAAGTTTCTTGATGAAAAAGAAAGGACAGTAAAGCGTACCAAAACGTATAAGGTGAGGTTTTATTATTGCTGGGTTATTATTCAAGTTTGGCTACTAACTGATTACTCTTTGCAATACGAACAGGAAAGTGATAACAATGATAATACTGAAAATGATCATTTATTGTTATCAGATGAAAAATCATCAACTGTCTTTACCCAAGACCAATTCTTCCCAATAATAAATCATCCGATGATGAATCTGAGGATGACGGAGATCATGTTGATTATAAGATCGATGATGATAGTGAAGAATTCTCCAATTCTAGCCTGTTAAGTAGAAATGATACGAAAGATGGTAAGAAGGATTTTTTGGTGCTTATTCAGACATTTAATTAATAACTTTTGGCCATTCCTGTTTATTGTGCAAAAGGAACTCAAACACCTCCTCATCAAATTACCAGAAACACTTTCTTCGCTCAATTCTCAGCCAGTGAAACCCATGAAAGCATCCTTAGAGCTTCTTCTGAGTATTTAACAGGCTTAGATAAGGTTAAGGTATGACATTGCTTTGTTAGTACATGTGACAAATACTCAATAATTTTCATTAAATAGTATTTCAAAAAATTCATTCCACTCTTCGAAGAATACAAAGATTGTGAAAAAAATAATGTGTACTCGTAAGTACAGTATTTATTTTAAGGGGTGTACCATACTATGTGAAGTTTTGCTAATATCTTCTCAATGTATAGTTGCACCAATGATGATGTCATGGGCATTAGAGGTGATGGCGGTTTTGCGAAATTTTTAACAACTGAAGAGTATACAAAACTACTTTCTCTATAATCAAAAAGGAGTGCAATGTTACCAAATTGTTGACATGAAGTCATAAAGGAGTATTATAAGGTAATTATGTGATTTGTGTTGTTATTTAAAACAATTATTAATAGATATGTCATGTTGCTTTGTAGGAGTCTTTAACTGAAGACGGACTAAAGAAAACAATTTCTGACTGGGTTTGCATCACAAATGCACTGATAGTAGTTAATGATGAAGACACCGAGGAAATAACAAGACTCAAAAAATATTTATATAGAGTAATGCTACCTTTGTAAGTATCGGTTAAGGTTTTATTATCATTCATTAATTCATTGTTGTGATTATTTTTTTTTCGTCTTGCAGAATTGAGTCATTCCTTAAACCTATTCTGAACATTAGTGCCCCAAACAGTAGTGAATATCACTATTGGTCAGAGTTCAGACATCATTTTTTCTCTTATGCTTTACAAGAATTTACAGGTTTAGATTGGCGAATGTAAATATTGGATCAATAGTGTCTTTTTTATTGTTTTAATTATGATATATCTTATTGAAATTTATTCTTTTATTCTTAGAATGAAAGTAACCATACATGCATCTAAGTACAAAAAAAACCACGAACTTGATCATTAAGTATATAAAGTGGTTGAAGGAAAATGCGCTAATTTGCTGGCTTGGTCTTGGGAGACGGGAGAGGAAATTTTTGTTGGAAAGCAAGCAGGACCACCCACCAAACCTGACTTAATAAAGCTCTCTATAGACTCTTTCAAATTTTATAGAGAATTAAGGGATTGTCTGAATGTCCGCATATTAAATGCAATGAAAATTGGAGATGTTAATTACACTAATCATGCTGTTTTGGAATACTTGGATATTTGTTCGAAGTTAAGATGTTAATTATGTGAAAAGATGGTGTATATATATATGAGGAGTTTGGGAGTTTCACTGTAGCTTCTCATTCGAAAAATATTCATATGATGAAATTGGGAATATTAAAATTATTAGAATTTATTGTAAGTTTATTATCATCATATCTTTTCATTGATTTTTTCATTCTAAATTGAATTAATTATGTTGTAGATGGTCATTAAAATGGAATTAAAATATACTGCGGAAATAGAAAATGATAATGATAAAGCTCAGATTCTGAAAAGAAAATTTAGTGATTTTATTCAAACAAAGCCATTGCCAATAAAGGTCATAAAGGTTAAGAAGTGAATATGCAGTGGATCCAAGGCAGTTTCTTCTGCCGAAGTTTACTCTGTGGGAGCATTTTTTTTTTCTCAGACATATATATATATATAAACAGCAATTTTATTCATTTTCGGCTTCATCTGACTTAATATCAAGTGTCCTATATTTACTTTAATAAACCAATCATTTAACAAAATTTTATTTTGCCCACATCGGGCTTTATCTTTCTAACGTATGTGCTACATGTGAATGAGTGTAATTGTATCAGAAAAATAAAATGTTTATATGTTGATTTATTGTCATAGTAAAATTTTGCATACATAATGGCATTTACTTTATTGCATAGACGTCAATGTATTAAAATTTTTCTCTTGAAAAGTGATTGACGTTCTAAAACGGAACGCGCATGTGATTTTTTTTCATCAGATTTTTCCAGATGTGTCTTCTCAGGATAAAATAATATTATTTACTGATTTCTGGATATGAACAAAGTGAGTGGACAGGTGATCTAACTAAAGATGAAACCGAATATGTAATTGTCAAAATTTTAAAGCTAAAGGGTTGATAATCTGCGCAGTTTGTCCAGACCCAAAAATAATCTAGTCATATGCTGATCCTAGTTCTGCGCAATTTTGACGAGCCCATTCAGACTCTACCATCAGAAAAATAATCTAGTCATATGCATAACGCTTTCGGAGATAAATTTAACCTGAGCTCATATGCATGTCTATCAGAAATATAGGTTTCGGGAGATAAATTTTACCAGATGCTGATCCAGCTTCTCCTCAATTTTGACGAGCTCAGACAAGCATGTGCATTTTATTCATAATCATTTTCCCGAATTCCCATTATGCTTATCCGGCTAAAGAAAAAATCTGAAACCTGATTAGCCTTGATTTTGGTGACTAGCTAGCGTCGAAGTGTCTGAGAACTATCGTGGAACTGACAGGGAGTTAAGATGATTCCTGTAATATGATATACGTTATACTTCTCTAATTAATGAATCTGAGAATAATTTAGCCATTATATTGGCCCTTTGCAATAGAAAGGGGGGAAACTACCTTATAGTAGTTTTTGAGATAAATCGGTTTTTGTGAAATAAACAAAGGAGGTAAGGTGATACTAAAAATAAAATGCGCGATCAACTCATAAATTGCGAATATCGATCATTACCAAAATAAAGAATACAAGCAATATTCTTTGCAATAGAAAAGGGAAAAATTGTTGCCGAATTTGCTGATTAATACTTTTGTTAAAATGGATTTTAGGAAGGTAGAGGATTCAGCTTTCATTTAATGGTGAGTGTAAAGATGACGCCTCAATTAGTTGCAACAGGTGACAAATAAGCATCACAATGTTGCAACGAATTGCAATATTATTAAAATTTAAGTTGCAACAGGTGATAAATAAGTGTCACAATGTTGCAACGCCATCTTTAGGTGAGTGATTTTTTTTATTTTATTTTATTTTTTTTTTTAGGAACTTATTAATGTTCCTTTTCTTTTTTCTTTAGCAGTATTGGTTTTTGACAAGGTGGAGGAGGGTTCAGCTTTTGTTTAAATAGTGAGTGAACTTGTTTTTTATTTTTTTTTTTGTTTTAGGAACTTTATTAATATTCCTTTTTTTTTTCTTTAGCGGTGGTCTTGGATTTTAACAAAGTAAAGGGTTCAGCTTTCGTTTAATGATAAGTGATTTATTTTTATTTTATTTTATTTTTTTTGTTTAAGGAACTTTGTTAATGCTCCTTT